GAGCAAGCTTATCAAATCTAGCGTTATTTATGCGGATAGAGTAGTGCCAATTTTTATTTCCCTCTGCATTTCCATTGTCCCCAAATTCATGAGTTCTATTTCTTCTTTGTGGAGTAGAATCTGTTTTTCATCTCTTTCCACTAATCTCAATAGCTCATTAGGGACTTCAAAGTTTTCTTCATCCTCGCACTCATTGACTTCTTCCTGACACAATGGTTGTTCGAGATCTATCTTATAACTGGCCTCAGGAACCATTATGCTAGCATCATTGTGATATATGCATGAAATTTGGTTCGGATATATTGGAATGTAAAGAAAAAAGAATATGATGTAATGCAAAAATGTGAAGAATGAAAGTGATTATCATTTGAGGGAAAAAGTATCTTTCATTAATTGACTGAATAATCATTGAGTTTTACAAAAGGTTGAATAGATACTTTGAAGATGCTAATACAAATTATTTCTGGGCATTACTTTGGATTGACCCTGAAAATTACGGGAAGATCTTCGGCTGTCCAGTTGTCGAGCTTTTCACCGGGGAAACAATGACGGATTCCAGATAGAAACTTTTCGGGTTGGTTACCTCCAGTAACCATGTTGATAGACAGTCTCTTCAGGGTCTCGCCCATCCACTCTTCTTCTTTTGCTAGCCTTTCGATCTCGACAGCGCTGGCCAGTTCTTGCTCTACATCATACACTCCTCCAGATTTGAAAGAGCTCTTCAAAGGAGGGAAGAACATACGTTCTCTGGGGATATCCCCTCCTCTTAATCTGGCTTTCCTTGCCTCGAACCTTTTTTTCAATTCTTGGCCACGCTATTGGAAGGTGGCCTTAAACCCGAGCCCAAAATGGTCTCTCTTCCTTTCAAGAGTTATGGGTCGTACCTGCCCCTGCAGATTTTTTCCCAGTCCTTTGCCGGTTCTCGCTCCTCTTCCCAGGGTTTGCCTTATTGTCATCTTAGTGCAATCTAAGAGTGTGGGACGAGGAATCCTGCTTCCTTCAGCCACATAGGTTGCGTTGAAAAATTCTAACGCCCTGAAGGAACATTCTAAGGCGTCTTCATTGACTTCAATGTATGGGGTATCTATCGTCGTAGAAGCTATGATTTCTTGTTCAGCTCCGATGCTGACCAACCTTCCATCAATTATGAATTTCATCTTCTAATGTAAGGACAAAGGAACTGCCCCTGCAGCGTGGATCCAAGGTCTCCCCAGTAAGCAATTGTATGTCGGGTGGATGTCTATTATTACAAAGTCAATGTTGTAAATAGCAGGTCCGATCATCAAGGGTATTTCCATCTTTCCCATCACGTCCTTCTGGGTTCCGTCAAATGCTCTGATGATGTTATGATAAGCTCTCATGTGTGAGCTATCAATGGGTATTCTTTGTAGCGTAGCCAAAGGCATTACGTTCAGTGCAGACCCGTTATCTATCAGAACTCCCGGTAAGACATGGCCATGGCAGTGTACCGTGATATTTAAAGCCTTGATGGACCCCATTCCTCCTTCCGAGATCTCATCATCAATAAAGGTGATGTAGTTGTTAGCAGCTATGTGTCCTACGATTCGGTCTAATTTATGCGTTAAGATATCATCGGGGATAAAAGTTTGGTTAAGTACTTTTAGCAAGGCGTTCCTGTGTATTTCTGAGTTGATCAAAAGATCCAAGATCGAGATTTTTGTCTGCTGTTTGTGAAGTTGGTCCACTACGCTGTATTCACTATGCTTTAGGAATCTTAGGAATTCACGACCCTGAGCTTCGATCACGGGCTCGTTAATAACTGGTGGAGGTTCTTCATTGAAATTTTTTGGCATTACCACTGTCTTGGCTTTGGCATTTGCTTTATCTGCTTCGGTGGATGTCTCAGGTGAGTAGCATCTTCCGCTTCTCGTGAAGTGGCCTACCTCACCTACTTCTTCTGGGATTAACTTGCTTTCTTCTCTCATCCTTTCAGTAGTTTTTGGTACCTCTGGTATGGACACACTAGCTTCGTAATTCCAAGGAATCTGTCGGGTGTCCTTAAACGAGAAGGGGGACGGAGTTGTGATCACCACTTTCAGAGTCGTTGATGATGAACTCTCATGTCTTGGTCTAATGGTGATGACCATCGATTTTCTCACTCCAGGCATCCTGTCAGAGCCATCTGTCATGCAGACGTCCATTTCTCGGGGTCTTTCTTCAAAAAATTCCACTTCCCTGCTGTCCATCATTCTCTGAAGTAATCCTTGAAATTTGTGGCAACTCTGTATGTTGTGGTCCTCCTCTTGGTGATATTCGCAGTACGTTTTACGTCCCCAAGGCCTTGGCGTGAGACTATCTTTAATCATCCTCGGCATGCACAACTGTCCAAACACCCTGCTGAGAGGAGATCAGATTTCTGATACATTTCTCTTCGTCGTTCGGATCTCTCTTTCATCTATCATATTGATTCCTTGCCCTCCGTGATTAGGAAGAGGGTGATCATTTGCAGCTGGTGTTTTGAATTCCGAATCTCCAGCATTGATGAAGCTTCGTACAACTCTCTTGAAAGCTGAGTAGTTCTTGATATCATGCCCAGCGATCCCTGCGTGATAATCACAGTAAGCATTGGCATTATACCAATGCGGGTAAGGTGGCTGCAGCGACGTTAACTTGTAAGGACGCACTAGATCTGCCTTCAAAAGCGAGTTGTAAATTTCTGAGTACGGTACTGGTACTGGTGAGAAAGTTTGCCTCGTATTTTCTCTCTCCTTGGCCCCCTGTTCTCATAAGTGTTTGCCTTCTCTACCCTAGGCTGGATGATTGTAACACTGGCAGCGCAGTTCTTATGGTGAGTGTTCGTATGGTTCACCTTGCTTTCTCTTTTCTTAAAATAGGGCTTCTTTGACCCTTCACCTCCTTCAATCTTTCCATTTCTAATGGCATTCTCGATTAGCTCACCAGAAATGACCAAGTCAGCAAAATTCTTGGTAGCATTTCCTAAGAGATGCCTTAAATATGGAGCTTTTAGAGTATTCACAAAAATGACTGTAGCCTCTTTTTCTAATAATGGGGGCTGCACTTGGGATGCCACATCACGCCACCTTTGGGCGTATTGCCTAAAGGTTTCACTTTGTCGTTTCTCCATATTTTGCAGCGTCCACCGGTCAGGTACCAGGTCAGTGACGTGACGATACTGCTCTAAAAATGCTCGGGCCAAATCCCTCCATGATTTAATATGAGACTTGGTTAATTGGTTGTATCATTTGGTTGCCGATCCAGTCAAACTATCTTGGAAGCAACGTATCAGAAGCTTCTCGTTCTCAGTATAGCCAGCCATCCTCCTGCAGAACATGGAAAGATGGGCAAGTGGTCCCGTCGTACTTTTCAAAATCTGGCGTTTTGAACTTTGGGGACAATATGAGATCAGGAACCAAGCTTAGCTCCCTCGCGTCCATTCCGTATAATGGCTCCACCTCTACCGACCTTACCCTTTCCTCCAGACTTTTCAGTTGTTGGGTTATTCCGCTGTCAACCTTTCCTTTTGCTGATATTTCCTGAAAGTCATGAGGTAACTCTTCCATGCCTGACTCAACAGGTCTTACCCTGGCAGCCGATGGGTAATTAGCTTGATATACGGGCTCAGTATGATTCTGGGCTGGCGATCTAACAGAAATGTGTACTGGGGTAAAACCGAGAGAATGTGAAGGTCCTGGTGTAAACCCCGGTGGATGTTGGGGATCAGATGTAAACACAATAGGATGGGACGCTTCTGGTTCAAACCCTGGAGGATGCAGGGGATCTTCTTCAGATAACGCTCGCTGGTCAACCTTCGTCTTTCCGTTCGTAGCAAGTTTCTTAAACATTTCTTCGATCTTTTGCAAGATACCGACTTGCGAGTTTTCTATCTCTACTTCCATCTTACTTAGTCTCTCTCTAATTTCTTCTTGGGCTTGCCTTTGGTCTTGTTCAAGCTGTGCCATTCTTGCCTCTATTTTCTTGATCGTTCTTCGAGTACCGTACGGGTGTGAGGCGAGTGCCAGGATAACTACAATTGGTTGGAAATTATATTTTATTATTTAGTGAATTTTAATAAATGAATGAATTGTTATAATATAATCATTTAGTCTTTTAAATATGAGAAAAACATGTGAAAATGCAAATGCAAATGCAACCCGATATTGATTCCAAAATAACTTAGTTTATAAAAAAAAGGGTACTCAACAACACACAATGTCTAAGAACTTAGGCAAAGAGAGTACATCAATCATGGAAACTACACATAAAATCTTTCCGTATCCCCTAATCTTTTGAGCTCTATCATCAATCCGATGATGCGTCGTTCTTCTACTAACTCCATGACCACAAAAAACTCTCAGGGCTACCGCTTCTTCAGATAATTCGAATACTTGGCGAGCAACACTACGGGCCTGACTAATGGCTCTCCCCATTGCTTCATGGTGACTCTGAATAGTATCTTGAGCCTGTCGTAGTGCGATTCCAAGCTCTGAATTAGTCAATGGTCAACTTTCTTCTAATTTTTGGATATGCTGATGTCTTTTCAGTACTGCAACTTTTAGCTCAGTAATCTTGAATTTTAAGGCCTCATTCTCCTGCATGGCTATATCATGCGCGGATGAGTGGATTAACTTTGCTTCTTCTAACTCTGCTACCCTTTTCTTTAACCTCTAATTTTCATTTTGAATACGGGACCCATCGCTACTGTATGAGTTCTGAAAAATCTCATCCAAACTAAGCAGCTGTGCTTCAAGCCGTTCAATCTGTGCCCCTCTTTGTGTCAATTCTTAGTTAGCCTCATCTCTTTACTCTTTTAGTCTTTAGGCGTGCTGTAAGGCTCGTTTCTTTCCTTCTTGATATCTTTTTGCGCTTCTTTCTACCCCGTTGAGTTTAATTTTTAGGGTCTTGGCAGTATGATGTAGACTCTGGGCTCTCATATTCTTTTCTAAGTCTCAAAAATCTTGATTTAGCGCATCAAAACTTCCCTGAACCTTCTCTTTATCTTTGGACAATTATTTTATCACTCAATCTTTCTTAATCAGCTCGAGCTCCCACATTGTCTTCTCATCTGAGAACTTTCTATTTTCTTTTTCTTTCTCCATATTTATCAGTTGCATTTCCTCTCTTAACAATTCAGCCTCTGTTGGGAGCCTCTTCAATCGCTCCTCCATAGTCAACTCATCTTCTAAATTTGGCTTCGACGTGTTGTTATTAATCATTTGCAACCTCCAAACCTCGTAGGCCGGCGTGAATACATGCTCTATTATCTTGAAGCTCATGCAGTGAGGTTCAAGCCAAGCCATATAAATCTTTGAAATCCGCTCTCGGTAACCTGGAGTGGAGAAAGAAAACTCCGCCTCCTTCAGGCCGTGGGTAGCGAGTACGAATTGTAGGGTACTGAACTGTCTGAGTGCAATTAGCGGAGTATACCCGATCGCTCCCCATAACCCGTGTAGCATTATAAAACTATCGTTGCCGCATCTGAAAAGTATGTCTTCTTTGGGTAACCAGTAAGCCTTCCATACTATCTCAGTATCTTTTATGTTACGGAGAGCTTCAACCCATTCCTTCCTCTTGGGATGCTCTGGTATTTGAGACTTGCTGAGGAAGTTCACTAGAGGCGAAAAATTCGATTGATGTCTCCGAGCCCAACCTTTCTCGACTATCCAAGAGTGGTTCCACCACCAAACTAGTAACAATGAGGCATATCCGGTGAACTGACCTTCCCCCAATCGTCTACACTAGTTGAGTGACAAGAATGTTTCCGCAAGGATAGCTGATGCGGGATTATTTCTGGCAATAGCTTCGACAAAATCAATTAAAGCGATGTCGAAGTGATCCTTATTCCTGGAGAAAATAACCAAGCCATATAATGCAAGTGCAAAGTGATCTATTCTTCTTTTTGATGGAGTCTGCTCATAAATCAAACTTTTCAGTTGAGGCCAAGAGATTCCCTCATCACGAATATACTCTACGACCCATTCCTTGGTCTTCTCGGTCAGCATGATCATCTTGGTAATGAATCCCTTAGGTCGGATCACCTTGGTGTAAATAGAATGTCTTCTGATATTTGGGATATTCAGTAAAGCCGTATACTCCTCCAAGGTAGGGGTCATATCTACTTTACCGAACGTGAAACACCTGTAAGCTGGATTCCAACACTCGGCCAGGGTTCGAACAACCACTTCGTCTATTGGAACTCTGAGCAGCTCTACTAGGTCGCCGTATATTTCTCTGAACAGTGTCTTCTCATTATCATCCCAAGTGGCCCAAATTCTTGATAACGCAACCCAATGCGTCTGTCTGACTTGGATAATTACCTTCTCCAGTAAAACTGATTCTTCATTAGTAACAAGGCTATCCCTGAATCGTGTTTTTCCGTATTCAGACCAGGTTTGAACATTTATTGTATTCTCAGTCCCATCGGAAAACATTGTTGTCTTAAGCTCTTTTTATAATAACTAGATAATCTGGGAATCAATATCGTTTATGAAATGATGTGATATGATAATGATACATGCAATCAAGAAACAAAGCAACAAGTTAGTACATCAGAATAATCGAAAAATAAAGGAATAATTAGCGAAAATTTAAATTATCGAAAGTGAAATAATCAAAGAAAACTGAAAATCCTAACATCATGCGATTTAGTTCTCTTAAGTTAACCACATGGCTTTAAATGGGTTGGTTTACTAAATTCTCTATATGTGGGAGGGTTCTAGCAAGGGTTCCCGAGTAATTTCACAACCTGCTAAGGTTGACCCCGATTCTAGCCCATTACAGACTTGCGAATCGGGTTCCACTCAGGGGATCACACCACTAAAAGCGTACCTCAGAACTGATATCCAGATAGACAACTTAGGTGCTTTCCAGAGATACTTTGTCAGACCCACACAAGGAAGCCCAATGCTCCTCATGAGGTGTGACGTTTCTCCCTACTTAGATAAATCGGGATTGAGCTCGGGTTTAGAGCTATGCTATGCAACAATCCTAAATATTTCATAGAAGTGTAAACATTAACCAGAGAGAAATCTGTTTTTTTTAAATAACATAATGAACAATAAATTAAATAAGATCGAACTCGTAATTTCTAAAATAGTAAATATAGGGTAACCAAATCGTGGCTCGACTCTCAATTTGTTTAAAAAAACAAAAGTCCCCAGCGGAGTCGCCAAGCTGTCGACACCGTTTTCCGCCCAGGCAGGGAAGACCGATACTGACACTCAGGGGTTTTCTCTATGAAAATCGTTTCAAAATGTGAAGAGTCGCCACCAATCATTTAAGGTGTGATTGGAACACCATAAAAACTGGGTATTTTAATAAAAAAAATTTATTTTAATAAAATATCAAGTTTTGGGGTCTATAAAAATCCAGAAATCAAGTTCGGGAGTCAGTTACGCGTGGGGAAGGATTAGCACCCCCACAAGCATCCAAAAATTGGTACCTAGTTGATTACCCTAGATTTAAAATCGAAAATTTAGAGTTTGATCTTTATTTAATTTAAAAATCACTAAGAATACAGAGTTTGAAAAGGGTATTCGTTTATTGAAACCGATAACATTTGCCCCCGAACGTAAATGCGGGAGATCAGCTATTGTGTCTAATAACCGAACATTGCCTCGTTTTTAGAAAACATGATGTGGTTTTGAAAAGGATATCAACTTATTTAGGGAATTACCAGTAGTCACCCCCTGAGCACGATCGCGGGGGATATACTATTAACTCCTTAATAAGTGAACAGTGCCTTAAGTTTTAAAAACAATGCAATCAAACAAAATTTTATTTAATCCTAATTATACTAAAAATAAATTAGGGTTTTTTCTAGCCTATGGTGTCAAATTATAAAGGCTCTAATATTAATCCTATTTGATTTTAATTAATTATTGAATCGAATAACTGAGATAGTCCCTCGAGCACTTACGCGAGGGCCAACTCGAATTATCCCCTAGATTTAAAGACTAGTTTGAAATCTAAGCTAAAATGGAGGATGTATTTAACCTATTTGATTATATCAATATAAAATTATGATCGAAGTTTGGGGACAAAAATGTCAAGATCTAAAAGTTTGGATTTCTAAAAGATCTAAAAGGCTAAGGACCTAAATTAATAATTTCTAAAGTTAGGGGTCTAATTAAAATCTAATTATTACCTAAATTGTTATACTAATTTTTTTAGAACCTTTTAATTATTAATTAATTATTAATTAAACAACTGATTCGAGCAATCGGGCGTATAATGCAAAAACTCGATTCGAATTGCTCCCTAATTAAACTAGAGTGACATCCTAATTTCTAATTTTGGTTCGAATATTAATCCAAATTAAGAAATAAAATTACAAAAATAAATAAATAAATACTAAAATTGAATAAAAATAAAATTACAGATAATAAAAGAAATTAACATATTCAAGGATCTAAATATAACAAACTTTAAATGTAAGGACTAAATTACGAAATAATCAAAGAAAGTAATTAAATAAAAATTGGGACCAAAATACATAAAAACCAAATGACAAAAAATAATTCGAAATATATAGAAATAATGATAAAATGATTAAATTATAATTACCAACATAATATAAGGACTAATTTTAAGCTAACCTTAGAATACTGACCAAGCCTAAATAAATGTAAAATTAACATACAAAATTGGAAATAAACCGGTGACCAAGACAAAATGCTCATAAGTTTTAAGGTCCTGCATGCGATTCATCCTATTTAGTTTAAGCTAAAATAATATGTGAAATAACATAAATAATACCTATACATTAGAAACAAATCAAAGAATTAAAACAAATAAAGGACCAGTTTGCAAATATGCGCCTAAATAGAGATGACCTAAACTAATTTACGCCTAAGGTCATGGTGGCTAAACCCTAATTTACCCTAAAGCTTTAATATAAAATCTATTTTAACTAAACCCAAACCTAAGCAAACTTACAGCCGCAACCCCCTTTCACTCTTAGTCTCTCCTCTCGTCCTCTCCCCTATCTTCTATACTCCGACCGAGACCCCTACCAGAACCCGAAAAGGGGCGAAGTTCGAAGGCTCTCCACTCCGATGGCTTCAACTCAGGCGGTCGACTCCTCGGCTAGGTAATTTCTAGACTATTCTCTATTTATTTTTCCATTTTTGTTGGTTAGCTGGGTGATTTAGGGTCAAATTAAGCACTTATTTATTTTTTATTTCAAACATACATATTAGTGTTACCATGCTTGAAAAAGAAAAAAAAACAGGTTATATTTACCCCATTCGAACATGCAAGGCTTCAATTCTTACAAAGATTATTGCAGTATTTTTTCAAAAAAAATAACAGTACATGATATACCTTAAATTCGAACAAAAAGAGAAAAATAAATACTTGGTGTATTAGAAGTGCACAGATCAGAGGAATGACATGCATTCGAACCAAAAAGAGTTGAGTAATAGATAACCTTTGTTATTCTTTGAAGATGGAGTCACAGTGTGATTTTCCCCTCTCTTTGCATTGTACACTGATTTGGGGTTTTATAACCCATTACATATGTAAAAAATAATTAAAAAATGCTATTGGTGCTATGCTGGAGCAGGGCATGGGCGAATGTTATGGGGTTTCTCAGTGGTCTGCGCAAGCATGGGCACCAGATAGATTGAACATGGCAGCATGTATGGTGCTTTTAATAAAATATGGAAGTACATGGTAACCTCAAGCAATTTGGTCGTCTTTGAAGATTAGGAGCTGGATATAATACTAATAAACAAGTCATCATGAATTAGATTTCCAATGCTGCAATCCAGCTCATGGCCCCGGTTATAATATTGTTCCCATAATGCTGTTGCCACCAATGATGGCACCACTTGGTGCTCCTTTGTCTGGTCAAGTAAATGGCCTTCCACAGCTTCTTACACTGGCCCCACCAACCATAAATCCTAGAACTGCACTAGATAATAGAGATGGGTTTTAATTTAAAATAAGGTGCTTACAGTAACGATGAGATGAAATAATCAATCGTGAAGGGAGAAAAGAGTGTATCTATTTTTCCTAAGATACATATAGGGAGGAAAAGACACTTTTTCATTATCATCATCGGTAAGAGGAAGGCTAAAAGATTGGGTGATTAGATCAACAGTGATGGTAACAGTATGACCTATAAGATATGAAACGATGGTCTAAAAAGTGGTGCCATCTTAAGTAAAGGATGACACATGAGCATTCGAGTAAAAAGCTCAAACCAAATATGGGTAGGTAGGGCCGTGAAAGTTAAGGAAATCAAAGAGTTTCATGTCCTCTAAATATTTTTATAAGGAAAATCTAATAAGTTTAAAATTTCAAAGTCAATTTTTTGGGAATCCTTAATTTAACGATAAGCAATAAATGAGTCATATCGCTCACGAGTTTTTGAAGTTTTAAAACATTGGTCAATCTAACAACTAACTTGAGGGTTGTTTGTAAATTGCCCCTTTGAAACCACTGTTCAAAAATAATTTAAGAATAATTAAAAAAATTGGGCTTTGAAAAACGATATGGAAGAATGGGTTAAGGATGGTTTTTGGTAGAGGACTTTTATCGAACACCTTGTGGGTGTAAGATAAAGGTTTGGGATTTTTGAAGAAATTGGTTATGGGTAATGTTTCATGCAATAAAACAACAATATTTGCAATGAATAATTATTCTCTAACCACTTAATTCAAGAAAACTTAACAGATTTTGAAAATTTGAAAAGTTAGGGTTTTTTTTATGAATTTTACAAAAATATGATGATTCCTCTAAAAATTTGTTAAAAAATCGTTGAAAGGAAGTTTAAAGGAATGATTTCACACTAAAACCCATTGAAAACGATTTGATTTGAAGAATTATCAAATTTGGATTTTGAGAGTGTATAAGATTGTTTTGCTTGGAAGTGGAGGCTTCGTAGGGAGATATGATCGTGAAATAGACTTAAAAGGGTTCCAAAGATGATTTTGGCCTAAAGGGATCGATCCATCACAAAAAGGATCATACATTTTTCTGAAAAAAAGGCAAGGATTAATCCTTTACTCAAAGGGATCAATCCTTTTTCTGGAAATTTGCATTTTTATTCCTGAGACCAAATTGGATGACAATTGACTTAAAATTGATGCAACCCAAGTCATATTATTGATAGAAAATTAATTTTAATGACTTATAGGATACTACATGTTCATGAGTGTTAACTTTAAACATCAAATTATGCAAAATTTTATTATTGATCAATTTAGTCCATAATTTGCACAACTAAAGTTCGAATTAAGTCACACAAACAAACGATGGCTCTAAAAATCCTAAAATGAATATTTTTAATTTTTCTACATTTAAACATCATATTCTCAAAAACAACATATATGATCAATACAAGGCATGGAGAATAAGATTTCACAACAACAATCAACATTGCAAATTTAAGGCAAAAAAATCATCAACATAAGTATATTAGGCC